AGAAAAGAGAAATAAAGATTTAAAGCTCAAGGAAAAGCTCTTCACAAGCCAGATGAGCATGATGTCCAACTTATTTCATGGTTGACTTCTACTAGATTGAATTCCCTCATTCATAAAAAGTATTATCAGCTGTGCTATAGTTAATAGGTTATGGCTTGAAATTCTGTTGATGGGTCTCTGCATAATCTAAAACTCATGTATCTTTGAGTAATCTGTCTTTACAAGCACACAGTCTTGTTCTACGTGTGAACAAGTGGAAGGCRCACAGTTCTGTTGCATTGCTCAGATTATATGCTGGGTGGAAAGCATGACACATCTACTTGTTTCAAAATGAATTGCATAAAGGCAGAAGCTTAGGTTCTTTCTTAATGCTTACCAGTGCATCAAAGACAAGACTAAGCTACAGTAGTCAGCCCAGCAAAAATGAAGGTGTCTCYTAAGAATGCAGATGCGTCACTCCCGGTGCTTATGTTTGTATCTCATCATCTTTTACTAGAAGTTTTGCCTCCTTTACTTTCTAGTTAACTTAAAAGGTACCTCAAAATGTTTTAAGTGGAATAAATCCGCAGAACCATTCTTCATCTTAAACTTTATATTAGTTTATTGTTACAATATTGTGGCTTGATCTGTCTTGCAGTTTGCTTGCAATTGAGTTTCAGCAAGTTATACAACAATTTTTTTTTTTCTCTTGTCAAGATTTAGAAGGAAGGTCTCTTGAACAGATCTGTTTGGGCTACTAGCTAGCCACGGGCTACCCGTTAGAACAGGAAGYGTTTAAAACGCTAGATAATAGGATGAACCAGCACCTAAAATAATACATTTTGTTACATCTTACAGCTGGAAATCTTAAATTCTAGCTCTGTCCTTTTACCATGTGAGTACAACTGATAGTTGTACTATTCCAGTATCCTCTCTGTGCAGAARGTGTTTTTGAGAGTTCTCAGAATGAATTTTGGAATTTTCCAGAGGCACAATCAAATAACTTGAGAAATGTTTATTATATGTAATGACAGTTTTACCAACTCTTTTAAAATTGATTTCAGAGAAAGAAAGAAAAGAATTGAAAAGCCTCGAAGGTTCAGCAGGAGTCATAGCCGGAGCCCAAGTCCACCACCTTTTCGGGGGCGAAACACAGCTATGGATGCACAGGAAGCATTAGCCAGAAGGTCAGAAATAAAGATTCTTAACATAGTATGACATAATCGATTGTTAATKTATTTGCATATTTAAATATTCTTTCTCGTTTCTCTCTAGATTGGAAAGAGCGAAGAAATTGCAAGAACAAAGAGAGAAAGAAATGGTTGAAAAACAGAAACAACAGGAAATGGCTGCAGGTAGTCCATGTGTATTATASAAATTCCGAAACAGTAGTATGGATGAAATGCTATGTAGGTTTATGCTCTAAGTGTTTCTGTCCTGCCCAAATCATGTAGTAGTTAACAACTGCAAAAAGAAAGTGACAGCTTGGTCCATGTTTTAAGAACCACTAGCATAAGGAAATGTTTAAGAGCAGAATTTATTTCTGTCTTGCTAGTGCTGATGACTTGATAACAGACCTGATAAATGTTAGACTCATAAATGATCTGGTGAAGGTCGCTGGACCTTGCCTTATGCATTATTAAGCAAGAATTTGAACATTCGTGTAAGCTCAGGAGCGTTCAGAAGAGTGAAATACTYAATTGTGCTGGGGCATTTCTTGTGTGTTGCAATTTACTTCTAATGGAGGAAATTGGGTGTGGTTTGGTTCACTTTTTTGTGTGTGTGTTTTTTGTCTGAAATTGTTGTGTGATCTTGTATTGCCATTTTCTTCAGCGGCTGCAGCCACAGGAGGCTCTGTTATTAATGTTGCTGCTCTTCTGGCATCTGGAACACAAGTAACTCCTCAAATAGCAATGGCGGCTCAAATGGCAGCACTACAAGCAAAAGCACTAGCAGAGACTGGAATAGCTGTTCCTAGTTATTACAACCCAGCAGCAGTGAATCCAATGAAGTTTGCTGAACAAGAAAAAAAGCGGAAGATGCTTTGGCAAGGCAAAAAAGAAGGGGTAATGCTCTGATCTGTAAAGCACATTTCAGGAGTCTTAAGATGTTACATGGAAGAAGTTTAAGAGTGCTTATTAAGTTTTTCCAAATTAGTTTACTGTTTGATACTAAGGTTTCGTATTGGTAGCAAGCCAAGATAAAACTTCAAGGGTGAAAGGACTAAGATCACTAGGCATTGAACGAAATATTTGTGTGTGTGTGTGTGAGACAATAGGATAAATTATACTTAACGTTTGTGTTCTGTCACAACACTGTATGTTAATACTGAACTGTTACTAATTAACGTGATCATTTTTAAACTCGGTGTTTCACAAACATAAAATGTAGGARAAGTTCATGTGGTACTAGTGGGAGGAGATAAGAAACTTGAATACTGTGTGATCTGTTCCTCGTGACTTATGTATCATTCTCTACTGTAATAATACAAGAAAAACAGTATTCAGGCATTCTGCTAAATTTTGTGAACTTTATGGGAATTGCATTTCCTCCAGAAAAGGCTTACATGAGGAGAGCCAAAGCATTTCCCCATCAAGAAATGTCAGGCATGGACACCTCTTATGGAATCCTTTACTTCTTACTGTGCAATAATTGCACAATGGGTTCATTTTGAGTATGGCTCTATTTACTTGCAACATTGTTGTGGGGGTTCTTTTGTTGTGTATTTTTTTTTTAGTGGACGCTTATGTAAAAAGTTGATATATCTATCTTAATTCTTGCAGGATAAATCACAGTCTGCAGAAATATGGGAAAAATTAAATTTTGGAAACAAGGACCAAAATGTCAAATTCAGAAAACTGATGGGCATTAAGGTAAAAAGTTCTGAATGTGTAATGAGGTTTATTAAGAAACACAGGGTATACTTGTTAAGTGTATATTTAAAACATTAATAAAAGAGAGAAAAACACTAAAAGTTAACCTGAAACAAGCTGATCTATTTAAACTTAAGCTAACAAGCAGCATTCAGTTCAAATTGTAGTGTTTCATGGTCTTGGCTAACAGGTACCTGTTGCAATCTGTAACCACACTAGTGTTAAGTTTTACTCAGTTAAGCATTGTAATCTGATAAAAGGTCAGGATTAGTAACTCTGCATAGGTACTTAATTGGAGACATTTATTTGAATGAACTGGAGAAAGGGACTCAGTGAAGCTCTAAATATTTCTTAACTGTGATAAGAAACCAGATTAGAATGGTACAGCAATAAAGCTAGAGACTTTGAAGTCCCATCAGCCTTTGAGAACAGCAAATCAAATTGGTTTTAAGAGTTAAAATGTCAGTAATACATAAAAAGGCCTCTCCCTACRAACTTAATACTTACTTTTTTTCTTTCTGTTTTCTAGAGTGAGGATGAAGCTGGCTCTAGTTCAGTCGATGAAGAGAGTTACAAAACTCTGAAACAACAAGAAGAAGTTTTCAGAAATCTAGATGCACAGTATGAAATGGCAAGATCACAGACTCATACGCAAAGAGGAATGGGATTAGGGTTTACATCTTCTATGCGAGGAATGGATACAGTCTGAGAGGAAATGGAATGATTTTAAAGTTTGGGACTATGGAAGATTCTTGTTCAAATGTTGGGTCCTTGTTCACCAAAAAGCTAGCATTCTAGCTTGCATGGGTGTTGCATTGACTTTAATTTATTGAAAAATACAATTTTTTTTGTAAATATCAGATCAGTGATACTGGTGTTAGTGTTGTAATCAGGTTATACCCACTTCCATTAAAGTTGACAGAACTATAGAAGGACAGTATTTTTTAGTTTAAAGTTCTACTTTTCAAACCAAGCAGCAGATGGGGTAAACTCATACATGGATATTTCGTGTCCACTGTCTTGTGTACTTTTGTACTTTAACCTTGTACAGTTATTTTCAATTCTTGAAACATGAAAGAAACATTGTGTAGATGTTATTTAGCAGTCTGGGCCAATAGGCACATAATCCAGTGCAAGAACCTGGTTAATAATAAAGACTTTTTTTCTCTAAGGTCTTATTTTATGTTAAGTTGTCTTTTGGGCCACGCTCCAAAATTTTTTAAGTGGTGTCAGAGAACAAATTATGAGATGTCCAAAATAGAGCATTTGATTTTGCCATTTTTGGATTTTTTTTTTTAAGAGAGATTGGAGATGTGGTCCATAACTAGATGATGAATACAGAACTTGTGGGGTTTTTTTGTTTTGTTTTTTTTTTAATTTGACACTAGTCCACCCTTTTTGTCATCCCTCCCTATCTCCTTACCTAAAACATTACCAAGAAAGGTAAAACATTGGGCTGTAACCTGCTCAAGTTTGATAAGCACATTGCATAATGAAAAATCTTAATGAGGCAGCTCTAAAATGTGCTTAGTTTATTTTTTCATTCTGTTTTTGGTCCAAAAATAGATCAGTTATATGCAGTTATTTTCTTCTTCTATATGCAGTTATTTTCTTACTCTAATTGAGTTTCACAAGGACCTTCTTTTTTCTTTAAAGCCTTTTCTTTAAAGTCTTTTTTTTTCTTTAAAGCATGAGAAATATGTAAGCACAAAAATGTATTTGAGGGTGTGTCTGTACATAAATTTACAGATAAAATGTGATCACATTTAACATTTCTAGCTGTATATTAGGCTTATTTTTATCTTGCCGTTGCTATAATCAGTTATAATGTGTTCCGTTATTTCTTGCATGACCTGGGCTGTAATAGTCATGTTTGGGGAAGGAAGAGCGACTTGCCCCCATTTTGGGACGGGGGATTCCCGCGCACTGCAGCTCCCAGTGTGCAGCGTGCCGCGCGTAGGGCAGTAGGGAAGAAGACTACATTTCCCAGGATGCCGCGCGCCCTATGCCGGCCGCGGCGGCGGCCGCTAGGGCCCGCTGCCTGCTGGGAGTTGTGGTTCCCCCGGCGCCGCCCGACGTCGYCCTCTGCCCTTTGCCCCTGCGGCGGCTCCCCCTCCCCGCGCAGCCACGCCCTTCCTGTCGCAGCTCAAGATGGCGGCTGAGGTGGACTTTGGCGACCGCGAGCTATTCGAGCAGCTCGAGGAGGAGGACGCGCCACCGCCGCCCTCTCACATCCGCTTCGACGAGGAGGAGGAAGAGGAAGGAGCCGAGGGCGCGCTGGCGGAGCTGCGCGAGCGCCTGCGGGGCTGTGAAGAGACGGTGCGGCGGCTCCGGGCGGAGAATATCCTGACGGGAGCGACGGGGCCTGCAGGGAGGGAGCCGCGGGGCGGGGGGCGCCGCGCCGCCGGTTCCCTTCCGGGCTAGCCTGGGCCCCTACTCACCGAGGTCCTCTGCCCTGAGGGGCTGCGGCTCTTCCCGGCGAGGCTGCAGAGACAGGGCCCTGCGAAGGGCCTTGCTCAGAGCCAGGCTCGGCGGCGGGAGGCCTGTGGGAAGCCAGAGCGCTCAGCGGCGCCCGACGCCTCCCTCCGGCTTCTGCTTCCGTCGCTTAGGAGGAAGTTTTTCCCCTGAAGTTTGGCCAATGTTTGTTTTTGTCCCTGTTGGCCAAGGGGTCATTGGGCTTTCAAAGGTTGAGATAAATGCACAGTGATAGCTGCCCCACTTCTTGCCTTTAAAAATAAAATGTTATTAGTCTTGTGGTTCAGCCATAATATATGTAATGAAATACAGATTCATTTATTATAGCTAGTCCTTTTTTTTTGTATTTGCTTTTTATTGCATTTTTTTCATCAAAGAAGCATTTCTGAGTATTTGGTTGTGTGTGTGCGTGCGTTAATTGTGAAACTGAGAGGTGTAAATGTGCACATTTYGAAGAAAACAGTGTTCCTTAACAAGAACTTAACATCAAGAACTTAAAAGGAAGCTGAATATTCTGACTCGCCCTAGGTATGTTAATGCTGAATTAAAAGAATTTTGTCTGACCTATGTATATTTAAAATAGAACTCTCCTGGAAAATAGTAATTGCCTGAACTCGCAGCATKTTGCCGTATCCCCATGTAGAAAGATTTGTGTCTGAGCTGCTTCCCCTAAATAGAAGAAACTTAACAGAAATTGGCCAAACATTGGCCAAACTTTCCTSTTTATGCTCTTTGGAACAGAGCCTTTGGTTGCGACAAAATGCATAGGGATGATTTACAGTAAAGGTAGTACAGTGACTGTTGTGTGCATCTCTGTTCTTCTAGTGGAATTTCAGTGGACAGCTCTAAATGCGATGGGCCTCTGCTGCAGATTTTATTTATGAACAATGTCATTTCAAAGTAAGTACTTTSTCTTGCCAAGCAAAAGCAATTCTGACAGGAAGTCAGACTGATTTTTGCCACTGGTTGTTTGGATATGTTGTTATTTATGTGAAGTACGTGTATGATATTCAGTAACATGAATTTGTTAAACTTTCGTTCTGTGTATTTAATTCAGCAAAATCTAGTACCTTCAATTCTGTTTTAGTAGTCCGTTTTTCCTCAAATATACTTATAGTTATTAARCTGTCTGCAGATACAGTATGAGCAGTGTGAGTTCATCATTAGTTCAGATTCAGTCTTGTGTGTGTTTTTCCTTTAAGAACACATGAACTCATTTTCACAAAGTTTCGTAACCAAGAATGGACTGGTTGGACCAAAAGTTGTGAAATACTTTAAAATTCCAATAGCTAGAAGTAGCAGGAAGATTCCTTTGTATTAACATTTTTAAGCCTCCCCATCTGCCCCATCTGTCCTTTCACCTTTTTCTTAATCTAATACATAAGTCCTATTGCTTGGAATGTTTACATTTTTTCTTGAAAGATTATTCCATTTCACAATTCAGCTTGTGAATTATGAAATATTCATAGATCAGAGCACTAAGTTCAACATAATGAAAAAGTTTTCACACATAATTTACACGGATTTCCTAATTTCTGTACATTTCTTTACTCTATTACAGGCAATATCATCAAGAAATTGAAGATTTTGTTTTTAATTTAGTTCAGAAGTATGAAGAGCAACAGAGATCTGTACCAGAAAAAAGCCACTTCAATCTTAAGCCACAGGTACTTTAAAGCTGAAGTTGCGTTGTATCTTTGTAGGGGTGATACTGGAATACTAACAGTGCTAAATAACTGACTTACAACTTCATTGCACATCATTTAACTCTATCAAATAAAGGTTTTAAAATTATTTCTTCCAAAAATAGAGAAGAACCAGGACAATTAAGATGTCTTTGCTGCCCATGTAAATGCTTCTTTAAAATGGTTCCTATTGAATTCTGTGTAAAAGCAAATTGAATGAATTCAGCTAAAGCTAGTGCATGTTTGCTCTTGAAAAAGTAGAAGCCGTATTCCCTGTTCTGTGACTCTTATACTYGTCAATAATTTAGGAATTATGGAACTTTCCTTCTTGCAGTCTTTTTCATTATTTATTTGCACTTTTGCTTTTCATGTCAGCCCTCCAGTATTCTTTTGGAAGAGGATTTTAAAGCAGCAAGCTCAAATTCTGTTAAAAAAATGAAGGAAGCCTTCAGTGTAAGTTTTAACCATATGTTCTTCAATGGTAGGTCTAACTCTCTGTTCTATGTAGTCAGTATAGAGTGCTATTAAAGTGAGATCTCATTGTTAAATTTAATTTATGAATGCAAAAACAATCTAGTTCGGTATGTTTTGGCTAGTTCRTTAAAAAATACTGATTTACATAGAAGTGGGCATGTATCATTTGAAAATTTTTAGACTGGGTGAAAAAGTCTGGAAATGTATCAGGCATTGTAAATTTCTAAAAATGTTACCAGATAATCTGACCTAAATACTGACATGTTTCTGACAATTTTCTGACTTTTTTTCTACAGGTTGTAGGAAGTGTTCTGTATTTTACCAATTTTTGTCTTGATAAACTGGGACAGCCTATATTAAATGAAAATCCACAACTGACAGAAGGATGGGAAATACCTAAGTATCCTGTTTGCTAAAACAAGTTCTTTTTATCTGTTTATTGACTCCAGAGATTGCTAGTGTGTAGGGTAGAATTCAGATTCTATTCAATAAATTTATATTTTTATCTAAAACATAAAAAATATTATAGATTTAAAAAGATAAGGAATAATTAATATGACCTTTTTATTATTAGCTTACTGATTTTTAGAAAACATATGCTTTGGAATAGTAAATACTACATCCCTGTAAATTGATCTTTTGAATTTTGAAACTGTTTGGGTCAGTCTGTGACCCAGATTTGCCTTTATAAAATCTGATGCTTAAGAGAGAAAAATGACTTGGTAAACTGAAATGTGCTTTGAGGTGATTAAGCCAAATTTGGGAGCAAGGGGAAAATCTCTTAACAAAACTTAATTGCGGAGTGATCTTAATAGACATTTTCTGAACTTATTTTCAATTTTAATCTACAAAGTTGCCTCTAGAGGTGGGAGTGAGGGAAGTGTTGGAGAAAGGTGGTTTCTTTTTTTTTCTTTCTTTAAGGAAAAGAAATTGCTTAGTTTTCTCAGTAATCTTTTCTGCTCAATTTTCCAACATTCTTTCTGCCTCAGAATCAGAAACAATTTCATATTTCAGTTCCTCACTAACTAGCGATAGAGGTTAGTCTCTGGAGTTAAAAATAGTTAATGTCTGATGGAGATTTAAATCCATGAGCTGGCTAACCTGAGTTTTCTTGTGCCTGCCTTTGTCTGTGTATGCACTGTGCCATAATTATACATTTCAAAAGAGGTCTTTTTTAATGCATTAAGTAAACTCTGCACTTCAAATGGTATTTGTGCCCTAACTTAAAAATAAAGGAATTTGATGCCCTAAGAGCAGAGGAACTTTTTGGCAGGGCTAAACTTTCAGATCTATCATGTTATCTCTATAATTATTTTTCAGATGTCTTTATTGCACATTTCTTTAGGGAACTTTTAGCATAGAATAGCTTTTATTAGTGAATTAAATAAACTCAGGGACCATGGTTGAAGTACTGCACTCATTACGTCAGTTTGACCAGTGTGTGACAAATGCTTTTCTTTTGAAAATCAATGGTTAGATTCTGGATGCTGCTTCTGAATTCTTCGGAGCCTCCGAGCCGTTTTCTTGAGGCTTGGGACCCTCCTACCTCCTTGTAGTTTCCTAGCTGAGTGGGAAGAACAATGGACAAAGTATAGTCAAAAGGCAAAAGCAAATAATATGATGTGCCCTGGATTTATCTCCTTCAAGAAGTGAGTTATATTATGGAAATCCTGCCAGAAAATATTACTAAATTTTGAGATTTGTAACRCTCGTGAGGTGATAGGAAGTGTCTCACAGTTATAAATATGGCAAGTGGAAAAAAGGAGCAAAACTGCTTATTGGATAGAAACGGGGTAGAAGGGGACTACACAAACCTATCTTAGCACATAGTTTATAGTGGACTGTACTTCTCAGGTATAGACTTTATACTGAGGACGCATCTCTAACATAGTGGAGTCAATGTTCTACTAAAAGCACTACTAGTTTTTGTTGGTACTTTAAATGAGATGAAATTTTGCTTGATCCAGTAGCAGTTCCTTATTGAAATCTAAAGATATCAGCAAGTTTTCAGCCAGATTCTCTCCCTAGATGGACAAGAAATACAAGTAAAACCAAAAAGGTTTGTATTTTTCTTGAATATAAACTTTTGAGCTGAAAAGTTCAGATGTGCACTGTGATTATTCCCCAGTATAATCATTCAGAAATTAAATTACCTAAACCAGTGCTGAGCTGCAGTGAGGGGTTTTTTGTGGTCCCTTACGTTTCTTTAGAAAGGGCATCAAATCAGTGTTTCAGAAGCTGTTTCTGAAGTTGCTTATGCTCTGGTCTTCTGTTGGTTGTCTTCTTTTTAATGATTGCTTTGTCATCCATGCACTGGTATACTSTCATGGCACTGTGTGTTTTGTAGAACAACTCCTGACTAACTTATTTTCTAGAGTCTTAAGATAAATTTGGACTTAGGTTTATGTCTTTAATGAGGGGAAAAGTAAACAGAAATTCACAGTGATAGCTTGTGTTGTCTTAGGACTAGAAGTCATTGATTTTAGATGCAGTGGAAAACCACACAAACTTTTACTTGAAAATTCAAAGATAACGAGGCATGTTGAGTTAAATGTCTGTTTTGATTGAAATGACTACAGTTTGAAGTAAATCAGGTTTAACAGTTGTGCTCATGTTAATGAAATGATGATAAAATGTTTGAGTCACTGCAAAATATTTCTGATTGAGTTGCATGTAAATGTGAGGTAGATGATTACCTTTTATCTAATTGGATGTTAGTGCATTACAGACATACTAAGATGGAAGATTTTATCTGTACTCTGAAGTTAAAAGTATTGTTTAACATCTCTTTTCTACCTTTGAATATAGCATATACTTTATGATACAGATTTTATTTGCTTTGTCCCTTTTTTCTATCTAAGGAATTTTTCTATACATAATTAAAAGCAGAAGTCCTTCTGTGAATACTGTGCCCCATTATTTGATACAAGAAATTATATCAATTACACTCTTTAGTAATTTAGGAGTTGCAGAACTTTCCTTCTTACAGTCTTACAMCGCACCACTGGTGGCCTTTTCACCATTAGGACAAACAAGTGTAGGATCAAGCTGCCCAGAGAGCTTTTGCAGTCTCTATCCTCACATATTTTTAAGGCCCAACTGGATGAAACCTTGAGCAGCCTAATCTGTTGTCACAGCTGACCCTGCTTTGATTAGAAGATTGGATTAGAGACCTCTTGAGACCTGATCTGAATTATTCTGTAACTGTTATTATTCTTTCTCTTAAAGGGAGAGCTTCTATTCCATAGGATATAAAAGCTCCGTTTCTGTCTGGAAGTATTACTTTACTTCTATAATTAAAATATTCTTCTGTCCTTTCTTCTTCTCCACATGCAGTCACACATACTTTTATTTTTTACAGGTCTGTGGATGTTTTCTTTTCCCTGTTCTGCTATTCTACTTAAGACCAAGAAATAAAATTTTGCTCCTCTGTTTTCAAGATTTATGTTAAATAGTTAGTTTCAGAAAAACAAAAACAGCATGTGAAATCAGCAAGCAATGCTCAACATACTTTATTTTGAAGTTTAAGACTAAAAATCAAATTRATTGCATATGACATTGCGAAATGATTTTCAAACTTAATAATTTATTGGGTGTTTCTTAAACAGGCCAAAACCTCATTGTTTTAATTGTGGTTCTGAAGAACATCAAATGAAAGACTGTCCAAAGGTAAACTCTACATCAGAATTCAAAAGACTKCTCCTCTCCAAATATGTTTCAGTGCAGTTGCAACACTAAATAAGTAACAGTAAGATGCAGTGATCACCATGTACTAGTGACAATAATAGTTATTAGAATAATAGTTATGAATGTCTATTGATTAAAGTATGTTTCTCCGTACAACTTGTATGCATAACATACTAAATCCACATGTAAATGACTTTCATAGCGTATGGTTTGAATATACCCTTTGCTTATGTAGGAACATTTTTCAGTTTGAACAGTCTTTCTTTGTCTTTTAGAGATMTGCTAATTCAATTTGCAAATGCTTTAAAAAAAAAAAATCTGTTTAACTTTGATTACAACTGTAATTATACCTTGGATATGTGTTTAAAAGTTTGAAGAAGCCTGGGGTAAAGTATTCCATTTTTATATTGGGTGAAGGCTTGCATAATTTGTAAATTGCCTGAATTTAAGCTTTCCAACTGCATTATCTTTAAGCCACGAAATGCTGCTCGTATAAGTGAGAAGAGAAAGGAATATTTGGAAGCTTGTGGTGAAACGAGCAACCAGAATTACCAGCAGCGTTATCATGCAGAAGAAGTGGAAGAGAGATTTGGAAAATTTAAACCAGGAGTAATTAGGTATCTTGTTTTCCTTCCGTTAAATATGTACTGCTTTTCTGGAATAACTTTTCTACCTTTGGAATGTCAGATTTTGCTTTTCAGAGTTCTACAGATCAATCTGCTAATCCTAACTATGGGTATATTATGTKCAAATTTGTTTGCTGAAGAAAATTTTTGCTTTAATAAATTCCTCGGATGTTTTTCAAGCCTATATTATCATCCTAGCTTAATGGTCCGCTCTTTTCCAGTGCAGTTTTCTCTATTGTAGAGAGATGGATTTTATACCTGTTGCCACTGCAACTCTTTTGCACAGAGAGAAATACAAATACTTTAGACTCTTGCTAATTAAAGATGAGTGCAGAATTCTTAAAATTTTAGGTTTTGAGTCTTTCAAACTCACTTTGTGTTTAAATTGCATATATATATTTAAATCATCATATAGCTATGGGAGTCTAAGCAAATCATCAGTAAATTTAGGATATTTAAGCATTTTAAAATTACAGTTCTTCTTGGATATAGTGAATAAGTGCTTTTTCTGGCTTTAGTTATTTCTAGGATTGAYAGGATGAAGTTTCTAACAACCAACATCTTCTGTTGAGCTTCTAAAACTAAAATGTTTTTACTTGGTAGCTTAAAATTCAACAAAATATCCATGTCTTCCTTCCTAYGAAATTCAGTTATGGACTTACTGGAGTGCTCTTTTCTTAACTTAGTGGAGAACTTCAGGATGCACTTGGTGTCACAGATAAGAGTCTTCCTCCATTTATATATCGCATGCGTCAGCTGGGTTATCCTCCAGGTTGGCTCAAAGAGGCTGAAATGGAGCACTCGGGTCTTGCACTTTATGATGGCAGAGGTAAGGAATGTGCAGTGAAATGCACCTCTCACTGTGCTGACCCTTTATTGTATTCTGTTTAAAAGACGGTAACACCCCCAGTTTGTAAACTCTCCATCTTCACAGAAGAGAGAGAACGTTGTACATTTTTTATTTTTGTCTACAATCGTGTAAAAGTACTCCCTTTTATCTATCAAAAGCAAGTTGGGACAAAAGCAACTCCTATTTTTGCAGGTTTGCAGACTTGAAAAGGTTTTGTCCATATCATTTTGTTCTTTTATCAACAACTCAGAATGTGGAGTGATTAGGGGAGGAACTGCTAAGAATTTCAAATAATCTGACAAATTTCCTAATATTCCTTTTTATAATGAGTTTACAGCTTCTTTTCATTTTGGTTCATGAAAGAAACCGTAAAGGTTTCTAAARCTCAGTAACTTACTCCCATATAAGATTCCAAGATTGAAGTAGACAACATGAACAGCAATGAGCAACAAACKTATTTCTTGAAACCTTATTTGCTAGGGAATAGTTTTTGTTAAAGCTGTGGTTTTTTTCAGTAGCATTCTTAATTAGCATCTGTAATAATTATATTTTGTTATAGATGGCGGTGAAACAGAAGATGAAGGATCCCATCAACCCAAACGTGTCACATACGATGTGTCTAAGTTGATAAACTATCCAGGGTTTAATATATCCACTCCAAGTGGGATTCCAGATGTAAGTAACCATCCTCTGTTTTCCAAACAACATACAGAGTAATAGCCAAGTATAGTATTACATTCTGAGACTGACTTTTTTTCTTCAGATAAGGAATCTTTTATGACCTTTGCTGCCAAGTTCTGTCCTTAGAGAGGACAGTCACATTTTTCACTAAAAATTAACATACTGTTCAAAGTATGACTTCTCTGAAAGTTTAATTCAGAGAGAAGTCTGTATTTGTTTTATGAGTGTTGAAGACTGCTAACTACAAAAAGGTTACTGTGCCATTGCCTAAAAATGACTATTTTTGTTATTATTAGCCAGTCACAGTGCATTTCGTCAGTTGTTTTGGTTTGTATGTTGAAATGGAGCACTTTGGTTTTCCAAAAGTTCATATTTAGTTATCTACTTACTCCCATGGAATTAAAATTTTGATAAGAACTAGTCTGTCTTGCCTTGTTATCCCTTAGTGTTTCTCTTATGTTTTACTGTCATGTTTTTAGCCAAACATATGCAACATCAGCTTTTTTTTTCTTCTCTCTTTTTTGTACCTTCTCTGTAGGAATGGCAGATATTTGGTTCCATACCCATGCAGCCATCTCAACAGAAGGATGTTTTTGCAAACTACCTTTCTACTTTTCATGCGGTGAATATGTCTCAATGCTATGTACACACACACAGAAGTTGTCAATGAAGTCTTTTAGTTAGTACTGGCAACAGTGAACTTTTGTTTAGATCTGAATTTTTGTGGAAGGGAATTGACTTTACAATGGGCACTGTAAAACTGATGCTTTTACTAGTTTTACGGTAAATTCCCTTGACATGAAAGTGGCCTTTGCTAGTTAACTAGCAAAGGGGTCWGTATCTTGGCTTATCTCCTAACAGAAATGGGAGTTTCATGTTCAGAAGAAATTCCATTATTGCAAATCATGATTATGCAATATTTTCTCAATACCTGTTAAAATAGTGAGCTTTAAACTTCTGCAGACTAAAAGTCTGCTAAGTTCTAAACTTCCATAATAAATTTAAGGATTAATTGCCATAGGCATGATTAACAGTAATCTTCTTATACTGACTTGAGAAAACATGTGGTTACTGAGTCCTCTAGTATTCTTGGATCTTCTCTACTGTGACTAGCCTCGTTTTKTCAAATATTTCTAATTAAGGATGCAGGATGTATGTTCTATACTCAGTGTTTCTKTGTAGTGCTATAGGAAATTAAATGACAAATTCAAAACCTGCTGTGAAAGAAGCTGCAATACGTGTGTTGGTCACAAGATTTATGTGTCCAGGTGAAAACTAGATCTTAATCCCATGTTAGCCATGCAGAGAATATATTTCTTTGGTATTTAAACAAAATTGCAATTCTATTCAGTTGCACTAAATCTCTCAAATTTCAATGTCTAGTTTACAAACTGGGTCACCAAGTGATGGCTTAATTATGAAAATATTTTAAAGATATTTTTGTAGTAGAAAATGTTACCTATATGATTTAATTCTGATTTCTTTTGTCTTCSTGGGTAACTTCAGTCAAGTACAAAGCCAAGCAACAAAAGGGCTGCAACACAGTCAAGCCCACATCCTTCAAAGCGACCAAAAGCAGACAACTCGGAGGTACCAGCACCTGACATGGACCTAGATTCTGGTATAGTTATTCTACCTTTATAATATTCCAGTTATTCTGGAGTATGTTAGATATATTTGAGAGGYTTTTGTTTTGGTTTGTTTTTTTGAGTGATCATCGTCATTAAAATCCTAAAATAGTTTCAGTGGATGTTAAAACCTTCTAAAGGCTTACTCAATATCAGTTAAATACTGAGGCTGAGAAAAGTCTSCTAGTGATCATAGCGTTGCTACTCTTAATCTTGCCCTGCATGGATTTCAGATTGTAATACACRCCTTTCATCTTTTCTAGATTTGGAAGTGTCACAAAGGTCTCAAACTCGTAACAGCTTTCAGTTCCAGCCTCCGTTGCCACCTGGGCCTCCATCAAGTTCAGCTCCTCCTCCTTTACCAGAAGGGACACCTCCACTTACTCCACTACACTCTACACCACCGCAACCTCCAACCCCCACGCCCCCTCCTCTTCCTAGGAGTACTCCACCTTTGACTCCTTCCGGTGTTACTTCTCAGCCAAAAATAGTGGACTCAACCATGGATGAGGATACTCTGACTTTAGAAGAGCTGGAGGAACAGCAGCGATTAATTTGGGCAGCACTAGAGCAGGCAGAGAGCACAAACAGTGACTCCGATATTCCTGTTGATACACCTTTAACTGGAAACTCTGTTACATCATCACCATCCAGGAATGAAGTAGAACTTGTTGCAGAAGTAAGATCATCTGACAAGGTGGTTACAGTAGAAACTAAGCTTTCTGATACTGGTTCACAGGTACCAGAAAATGAACATCCTAAAACTAGTCCTAATCCAGGTGATAGTTCACTTATTTTAAAGGAAAATCCTGATAATGCAGATTCTGAAGGCATGCTGGATGACATCACCCCTGCTCCCAAAGTTGAGGTTAGCAATGGAGGAAATACAAGTGTTAGTCAGATGGTCACAAACACTGAATCATCTGCAAAGAACTCCGGTCCCATTCCTGACATGAGCAAGTTTGCTGCAGGAATAACACCATTTGAATTTGAAAATATGGCAGAATCAACGGGTGTTTATCTTCGCATACGAAGTGTTTTAAAAAACTCCCCTAGAAACCAGCTAAAGAAAAAGCCCTAATCTTAACTGGTCTTCCTTTGCTCCATTATGTGCAAATCTCTTTGCCCTTCTCTCTCCTCGTGCAGTTTTATGGAGTTAGATAATCTTCATCCTCCTGTGGCAAAGAGAAAATCTGGAAAAATACGGCTATGCCCCTGGTCTACCTTTGAACTGCAGCCATTGCAGGCCTTCCGTACTGACCAGGACCAATGCTACCAGAAAATATACAGGAATTTCCTATATCCTTCCACTAAGGAATAACAGGACTGTTGATTTATTAAGAACAATTTATCAATACACACAACTCAAAGAAATTGTAATTCGGTGTTCATTACTTTATATTGTCCTTGAGTTTCAGGTGAAATGCTGATTTTTTTTAATCTGTTCTTTGTACAATAACCTATACTTTATATGTTTTGCTAATTATCCTGTAGGTAAGTTTAATATATTAAGAATGTTTTTTAAAAAAGAGTAAACGTAAAGATTTCCCACATCTAAATTCTGGCAGTTGGATGGAAGCAATCAGGGACTACCAGCATTATCTTCACCATTTCAAATATTTTTATAAATTATTTATGTGGGTCAGTTTTAAGTACCACTATATCTTTTGTAACATCCTCCTTCATGTAAACTTGCTGTACATATCTGTTCATTTTTGTGTACAGAGGTTTAATAAATAAGGTTTTATAAGAACTTTCTTTTTAATTGGAGTTCTGAATCAACAAGGTGTTGATTTTTGGAAAATAGCTGCTGAAGATTCTAGAAAAAATAGCTGATTAAAATGAGGATGAGTAGAGTTTAATATTTTAGAAAAGGTCACAACTTGCAGTTTAAGTTTTTATAATTAAGAAATTATTAGAATTATTCTACCTACTTAAATAGAAAGCTGCTGTATCTTTCAGTTTTCATAAACTGAAGAATGCCATCTTCTCAAATCACAAACTTGAAAGTGTTAAAATTCTGCTAATTGTTTAACTTTTTTTTGTTCTCTCAGTTCTCTCCATGAAGGACCTACTTGTGGAATGACTGTACATTATTTGCAATGCCAGCAGAGGGAGTATTCTTAACAGCATTTATTGGTGCCACTAATGCATGTTTGTCCTCTGTAAGGACAGGGAAAAAAAGGTATTTCTAGACAAGTGAGATATGCAGTGAAGCATTGTCAGGTACCTAAGGAAATACTTGGGAGGGAGATGTTCAAGAGACTGAGCTTATTTAGAAACCACAGCTTTGTAGATACTTTAATGTGTGAAATCGGTCTACTTTGCTTTTGAACAGTTTTTTCTTTGTTATTGTAGTTAAAGCACTTATATTTGTTGTTCTGAAGTTTTTGGGAGGGATCAAAATACTCCTTTTATATATGAACTGCTTTTTAAAGAAAAACGTTTGTTTGCAACATGTATCAGTGTATCACTTCAGTTTATGTGGTTCTAAAGTAGAGATCAGGGTAGTGTTCATTGTAGGTGCTAAAACAAACACTTTTTTTGCTTAATCCATCTTGGGATAAAATCATGACATTTATTTATTTCTTTTTCTTTTTTTTTTTTTTTTTTTCTTTTTTTTTTAACACGGATGGTAGTGAAGTAGTAAGTAGCTTCCAGTTTTCTACCTGTGTGACAAGAGGAGAACTCCACTAGGTAGTACATAAAGATCTTAGGCTTTCTCCATGCTTCTTCCCCTCAAGAAGTTAAAAGTGGTAATTGCAGTTTAGGTAACCCATTATGTGCTATTTGCTGCCTCATTCACGTGGATGATAATGTGAGGCAAGACACAAAGTAACAATTTAAAGTGTACACACCTTTTGGGTGTGTTGAGGTGATCATGTTTTAAACATGAAGTTCTTTCTCCACACCCAAGATCTTTTTTTATAACTCTTACGAAATGCTGCTTCTTTAGTAGTACATACTGACTAAATATTACAGGCCTACTTACATACTTAGGCTTTGCTTACATCCCAAGATTAGGGCTGTTTTTATATATGCCTAGTACCCTCTAGCGCTATACTTAGCTCTGTATATTCCCAAGAAATTCATAGTAAATGACTTCCACTTAACTGATAAGAACAGATAAAGCTTYGAACTCTCTACAGGTTCTCAGACTCATTGCTAACACAGCAATTATTTTTATTCCTTCCAAAATTTATTTTAAATGTATTAGAATAAAGTTGAAGTCATTTAAGCAACCCAGGTTTTAATCTGGTGCTAAATTCTAGTTTGAGTATGTTTCTTTAACTTTATAAAACTTTTTACTTTAAGTTCAGCAACATTGCTCTGGATATTCAGTTGTTGCCCACAAGCGACTCTAGATGTGGACTTTTTTTTTTTGGGGGGGGGGGGGGGGGGGGGGGGGGGGGGAAGGTACTGGTGTCAGAAGCAAATGTTATTATTGGGGCTCAGGGAGGGGACAGAGTGTTTAAGCATGGCTCTTAAATTCATTGGAATTTTTGGCCAGAACAGTTGTTCAAACTAGGAAATGTTTTTGTTCTCCATCTGTAATTTGATGCAATTGGTTGCCTGCAGCCCATGCTGTCATACCTGCATAACACCCTCAAATTAAAACTCGTACAATTTGGATAGTTCGGTTTTGGTTTAATTTGGTTGCAAAATTGCACTGTTAGCAGATAGTCTGGGTCTTACTTGCAGATCTTGGAGGTGTGATTTGATACTAGTACTCATTATTTTCAAGTGAGATCAATGTAATAATAAAAAAAGGTATAAGTTCCTATATATAGTCAAAGTTTGTATAACTAGTTTGTTATTGGTAGGCAAAAGTGGGTACTCAATTAGACCACAATAAGAGAACTAAGAAAACATTCAACACAAAGCTAGTTGGAGCTATTCAGGGGAAAACGTGGGGTGCTAGGCCCGTTTGGGCCATCTGAGTATGGGGTTTAGAGAATATCTTTTCATCCCATCACAAGTTAGAGTATGAAGTATCTGTATCACACAGAGAGCAACTTTTCACTGTTTTTTTTTTTCTTATTCCATCAACCTACAGGAACTCTCTGTTGATAAAATCCAAACTTTCTAGTGGTCTCTATAAAGCATATGTCAAAACAAAAACTCTTCCTGTATTAGCCTAAAAATATCTTCCCCTGAGCAAAACATAGCTGGGAGTAGAATACTTTCATTTCCTACTTCTCTTAGGATGTTTGTACAATTCTTCAATTTCTTGCATCTTTCAGGTGCAACTAGTCAATTTTATTTATTAAAACTGCAGTACCTGAGAAAATAGGAGTAACAAAGTGCTTCTGATACTTTCAACTTGCATTCTCGTGGTGATGGGTGTGGCATAATAACCTAGATTAGAGCTCAGTAACATGAGTAATAAAATTTGTAATGAGGTGGGTATGCTGTGAGCAGGCATCAAGCAGATTTTCTCACAGATTCCTGTTAATATAATACTGTTACTCATTTGTAATATTTAGAACAGCAAAATCAAGGCTATTTAAAAATGCTTATATGCTTCTACAAAAAATAATCTCTGAAAGAAAAAACAGGGCATCAGTTTGATAGTACTCTTTAGTTGGGGAAAAGGTAAAAGGTCTTTTAACTTATTTTTTATAAACTAATTCACAGTGATGGAAAAGAACAATAGCTGAGATTCTGGAAGATATCTGAAAGACATGGTAACTGCTGAGAATTATTTTACTGYAAATTGTGTAATATAAGCATTTAGCTGAAGAAAAAGAAGAACAAGCTGAAATATAATGAAAGGACTTCAAATGCATTGGTGCATGCCATGAAACTCCCTTGTCCTTCATTTTGTTCCAGAGGCAGTAAAATTGTGGTAAGTAAATGCCATTGAAGATGGGTGTTGATACTGTTGAGAATACAAGGTAGAGCTGAGAGTCCTGCTGATGTATTGGGGAATGGGGGGAATGACTCAGAGCTAGGGATTAGTCTCTTGGTCCTTGGAGAAGCTTACAAACAGGGTGGATTTCATAAGATGGTAATTAATGTATAAGTAACTTGGATACTTCCTACACCTTAACTACATACAACAGAGGTTTGATATAAGATTTTTTTTTGCTATTTATATTTGGTTTTCATTCAGTAACTGACTAAAAATGTTTTTTTTTTCCCTTCTGAATCCCATTGCTCCTTAAGGACAAAGAATACAACTGAAAAAAAAAATGCTCTGTACATGAGACAATTCAGTTCTTGTTGCATTTTATGTAGGTGGTGGAATGTTTATCCTTTTATTTGCACAGTAGAAGGATAGATTTTTAATAGAACACAATTTATCAGTTATGTATAACATGAAACAAAGTGAAGATTACTGTTTTTAAWGTTAGTACCTTGTTTACTCAAGCATGCCAAAGGGATTCTCTGAATCCYGTCTGTCCCTTTCTCTTGTTTTATCCATGTTAGGTAGAACAAGCAATACATAACTGGATGAAAWTTTGACCTTTGTAGCACTACAGCAAAAGAGCTGGGGATTTGCAGGCCTTTTCTGTGACTGCTGAACTGGTGAAGGAAAGCAGGAAGTRCATTAGGAAGGGGGTGAAAAAAGTAAGTAGTCCTTCTTGCTACTTAGTTGTGAAAAGTGGTTTTCTTGTTATTTTCTTCTTGCAGACAAAGAGTGAAATATGGAACTTGAAATGCTAGAAAGAATGGAGGGCATTACTAATTTGGGTACATAATACTTAACACTGAAAAGGCCTGTTTTTCATCTAGTCTTGAGCTGGATTAGTCATGGATTTAAAACAAAAAACACTAAGGTAAATATGAGACCTCAAGAAACTAAATCCCCTTGGCATCAATATGAACAAGACATGCAAATTAGGTTAAAAGGGGGAGAAATGCTGTTGTGCTTTCTGTGATGACTGAAGTTAATACAGGAAATGATAGCACACAAGTTCTGTTGATTTGTGAAGAAGAATTTATGAAGCGATTCTTCCTTGCTGAAAAGACAGACTTTTTTTTTTTTTTTTTTTCCCTGGAGCACATGTGTGGCCATCAATTTGTTATATGAGTTGCAATAAGTACATATTCAAAAGTACATTAAAGTACATTCAGCTGTGAGGAAAAAAGAAAAAACTATATATATATAAATGTACATGCACGCACACATGTTCTCTAGATTTTTCTCCTTGCATACGTGTGTCCTTGCATAAAAATCTTAGGAAAGTCAGGGCATCTGTAAATACAATTCTTGTAGAATAAAATTTTAGTCATTCTGAATTTCTGAATACTTTTAAACACTTCACGAAGATGACAAAGGGCAGAAGCAAATTGAAGTGATGTTCCTGTATTACTGAAGATAAGAATTTCTTTTTGATCTCAAGCAGTCCTTGTACTTATCACTGGCATGCCAGTAGTGGTCTACTGTGTTTCCCTAGAGCATCCACAGTCCTTGTTTTCATAGTCACGAAGAGATCTAAACCTTAATTGCTCACACAGCTCAGAAAAGAGAGGCAGCGAAACTAGAATTAGAGATGCTGTCTTCCAATCATATTTAATCCTTTGTAGTACTATGATTGATATTATTAGCACCTTTTTTATAATGATTGCGTAAAGCGGATGTGAGCAGACTAGCTCACAAGCCAAGGACTATTTATGTAGGTGTTTCATAAAGTTAGAGCCTGAGTCTCTGGCTTTTACCCTGATTAAAAATGTTTCTGTTTAAGCTAATTTGCATAGGTAGGGATTG